AAGTTATTGCATGAGATTAAAATGAAAGAAAAAAGAAATCAAAGTGATCTGAATGTGTTGCATTTACTACATTTAATCCAGAGACTTTTGATTGCATACTGCACAGAAGAAATGCACTCATATAGCCCGACGCAGTCACCTTTAGCCTAAAAGCCAGAACAAACAAGTTAAACACGAAAGCTACGGAAAATGTAAAACTACCAAAACAACACAGCATCAATGTTTGACCATGAGAGAAAAACCAGCAAACTAAAGTTACCTCTCTTTGTAGCTGTCTGTTTCAGCCTCTTCAAGGGTGGTCTGAGTCTAAAAGGAAGACTGAGATCTAAACTACAGATGGGACTTTTTTTTTTTTTAACTAATTGGGCTTCCTACTGGCATCAAAGTGATCTGGCCAAGAAATGACTGTTGAATAAATAAGATGTCCCAACATGTGCCAAAAAATGATCTGAAAGAATGTGTGTTTAAAGAAATAATCCAAGGTGCAGCACACTGCTTAGCAGAAGCTTGTGGTAACAATAATTACTTGTTTAATTTTTAATGATTAATAATTAATCTTTTAAGCCTGTTTTTTTTTCCACATATGTCATGAATACTCTGAATGAACAGCAGCTAGATTACCTCAATTACATGTTGGGCAGTATCACTAGTAGCGGCGGCATGACTCACATACACACACGCGCACACAGGCCAGTACTGAGTCACGCACACACGCTGTGTCACAATGCATGCATATTATCCAAACTCATGACAGCTGGCCATATGAGGTGCGTGATGTGTCTTTGCGCGCGCGCGCGTGTGTCACTCTCGTGCACGAGCCTCTGAGCAAACACCACAGTCTGGCTCCTCTGTGATGCAGACAGGGCCCATCAGAAATGCACGACTGCAGCAGGTTTAAGTGAGGTAACGCCTGACTAGAGTATTTGTCTGGTACACGAAGAGTTACCCTGCATCTAAATGAATTTCACTGTCTGGGATTTTTATTTATTTATTTTAAATACTTTCATGCACGACGCAATTTATTGAGCAGCGCTGACCTTATCTTCCACAGCTCTCTGCTGTCTGTTCTCGCTGCTGTATGTTGTGAGTTATTTTGGTGCACTGCAATAACCTAGTTTGGCCTTGAATAGCCTCACTGTAATGTTCCCACATAACCCGAATGTGGCTGAGAAACATACACAGCTGTGCCTGTCGGTGGTCTTTTGCGCCATCTGCTGGTCTACGAATGTTATCGGGTTGAAATATGGCCGAGCTTCTTCTCCTAGTTGCTTGTGCACAGTGAGAAAGGACAGTAAGTAAGAGAGAGATCAGTGTGCGTCTGCTGGTGCTCTCTGCAGCCCCGGATCAGACACGGAGTGTAATCTGCATGTACTAAAAGGCTCCCACCAACCAATCAACCACGGAACCTCCCTGTAAACACTTGCCTGATGTAAGCAAGTGTGTTTAAAACGCAGACAAGGCCAGTAAACTTCCCCTAATAACGCCGCACAGTTCGCAGTCAAAGGCGGCGCATTGTATATTCCCTTTCATCTCCCTGGTGCCTCAGAGACAGGAGTGGGTTTTAGATGGGAGGGATGAGGGCTGTAGTCAGAGGGGGGAGGGCGGGGGGAGAGACAACCAGGCTGATTCTCACAGTTTTGCCCCAGGGGTGTGTGCTGCTGCTGTTGCTCTCTCTTTGTTTGAAGACTGATTAGCAGAAAGCAAGACTAAAGAGGGGGAATATGAATTGTGCGCTCTGACAAAAGCTTCCATTGTCTATAACATCTACTTGGTGAAATGGAGGTAATAAATCAATAATTTATTTAATTAATTAATTAATTAAAAAAGACACACGAAAAATGTGCTCAGATCTCGTAAGAATCTAAATACCACCACATTCAAATTAAATTTTACACACTAGAAGATCTTAATTCAATACAATTAAATTATTTTTAAAAGACGTGTCTGCAGTCAGATTACCTTAAAAATCAAAGCAATTTGTGTATATTTTAACTATATAGGTGGACGGAAAATGTAACTGCTCTGTGTTTCACAGCGCAGACTCACAAAAATACAGCAAATAATAAATTAGCCATAATATGTAAATGTTCAGGTTGTTTCACTGCCCCCAAGTGGCCAAAAAAAATCAATACCTTAAATGCAGCTTTAAACACATTACTTAACCCGTATGGATTTACTGCAGTAAATATATCTCACCATAAGATGGCACAGTTATCAAAAATTGCGCATTATTTAACATAAGGGGGATGGGGAGTTGCTGTGTCTGCATACACACTGTGGCTATGGCTGTAGGAAAAGCCAGCAGTGGTTTATATGGGCTTTATTCACAGGTTGGCAGTCTGCGTACACATTTCACAGACATTATAATGCAGCGTGTGGCAGTGAATTCTGGTTGGGGGGTCCTGCGTTACTATTGATGCTGTCAGCAAGATTCCTCCTTCTCTCATTTGACACTTTGGGGTCAGGAGCTCTTGGAATTCTTGGGTGGAGACACATTTACTCAACACTTGCTCCTCCCTTGGCTTCCTAAAACCAAAGGAAAGTCAGCAACTTGGAATCTGATTTAAAATAAGAGCCTTGTAAATGGGGCCTCCAAAGAGGTTTTTACAAAGCTAATGACTTTTTATAAATTAATTTTATAAATAATGTTTTTTTAAATGACAACGGTGTAAATGCTTAAAAAGTTCCTTAAAATTATTTAAATCAGGGGTGTCAAACATAAGGCCTGGGGGGCAGAACTGACCCTGGCAAAGACTCCAATCTGGCCCACTGGATGGCTTTGGATCAACTTTGGAATTTTTACTGTATTTTTACAGCTTTACAGTTTTTAAACGTCTCTACCTGGACATTCATACGACACCACAGTAATTCATCGATAACTAAATGACATAAAATTTCCCTTTCCTTCACTATCTATAAAAAAAAATCTTTTGGTGAATTAACACAAACATGTTTTAGAAATATACGCCAGTCTGATCAATGAGCTACACATTTATTTCTTACATTTCCAAGCATAGTGCTCAAAGACTTATTTCCTTTACTACAAGAGCAATTCTTGAAAAACTAAGTTGAGAATGCACTTTGGGGATTAAACGCATTAAACTTGCTTGCAGTGACAGAAAGGGGGGATTTCACTAGTCTGGCCCACTTCGGATCCACGCTGATTTGCATACATTCACATCTACACACTGGCCTGTCTTCAACAAGCATAACTGTTCGCAGTTAAAGTATAAGGGCCTCATAACCTCATAATGAGCCGTTTCCATGAACAGCCAAACTGCTTTAATGGTGTGTTAACGTTAGGAATTCTGCACATATGTGAATTTTTTTAATGTTTTTGTTTTTTGTATCTAACTTATTGTTCTTCCTTCCTGATTCTCTGTTTTGCTTAAGAAAATTTCAGTTGAACACAACAGTGCAAACTTTGGACAGTCACAATACTACTGCTACTCTCACATAGCAATAAATCTGTAAATCTGTAACCAGGTCGCTCTGTCAGCATGAAAGATGAGTATCATCATAATTCCTTTGATTTAATAATGCCTTCTACATGCTTCTCCTTTGTCCAGATTGCAGCTGTAATGGCCCAGGCGCCCTCAGGATCAATAAAGTACATCTAATTTTTACTTAATAGAGAGAGTACTGCTGCTCAAAGATCACACAATTACATCAGAGGGCTAATCTGAAATCCAACATCAATGATTCCCCTGAGAGCGCAGGAGCCACAACACAATGCAATAGCTGTTTGATACACGGCAGAGCAAAATGAGGATTGCAGGATAAATGTTTTCCTAATTTATAACGTCAGTGGATTTAGAGTACACCCTGTTTGCTACTCATCGAACATTTTACAGTCGAAGGTAATGAGGAAGAAAAAGGACTTTGCTCGCAGAGCCTTTATACCGTGTGCAGGTCTTGTGATGCTGCGGAAGTGTTTTGATTTTCCCAGAGAGCAGACACTGACCGACATCTGTAAGGTAACTATTCTTCTCAAAACTTCCTTTACTTACGCCGTCATCTCGCTTTCATCAAACTCGAGTTCGTGTCTTTACATCGAGCAGTTGCTGCACTCTGCATCGCTGTTAAATTGAAAGGCACACGTCCAAATCCTTCTCTCTCACTCCCTGAGAGCTATGCATTATTGATGTCAAGGCATTTCATACCTGTGAGTTAGTGGAGCTGAATGAAGTGAAGATAAATGCTTGTTATGGGACTTGAAATGTAAACATAATCAAATGTTATTGATTATGCATCTGTATTCTAGGCGATTTATCCAAACTGTGTGCACCCGTGACCTGATCATGGAATGGAAGAGCAATATTAGGCGTACCCAATCGCTGAAGAGCCTCAGCTCGTCATGTGATAAGCCAGTCTGGACGGATGCGGGGCTGCGGGACAAGACGACGTCAGTGTCCCAATTGGTGGCCAGGTAAAAAAAAAAAAGCATCAGTCTCTCTGTATCTGTGCACCCCTCTAAGCTACTTGTAGGTCATTAGTGACATCAAATCATTAATGTGGTGTTTGTGTTTGTGACAGATATCAAACTGCTGTGAAAGGGAACAAATCCATTCAAGGACCCTCAGTAGATAACGATGACAGAAAGCCAAACCAGGTGCTAAAGGAGGTAACTTCTGATTTTTTTAGCTGTTTGTCCAATTAATGAAAAGCATCAGTGGCATAGCAGGAAAAAGAATAATCACTGCAGCTGGATTTACACACACTTCCCTCCCTTGTGTATCCATTTCAGATAACGCCATCTCGACTGGAAAGTAAAGAGACTCATCTGGAGTCTCTGATGAGGAAAAACAGTGAGAAGGAAAAGTCTCGAGCCAAAACCAATTTGACCCGCAGCAAATCAATGAGCAGCCTTAAAAGCAGCACAGGGTCCATAGAGGCCTTGAGAGCTCTGTTTGAGTCAAAGGCCTCTCTTAAAAACAACGTAAAGACCAGCCTTAGAGCTGCAGACTTCACATCAAGTTACACGACAGACGTGTCAAAGATGAACGGAGAGATTGAGGATGTACAGATCGCTGTGGAGGAACAGGGAATGGAAACATGCGCTGATAAAACTGATGTGAAGGATGATCGTGTAACTCGAAAGGTAAATACAACCTCATTATTACTTTAAGATTCCCTAATAGACCCACAGTTAGTTTAAAGGGTAAAACTTTTAATATTTACCGATGAAAGCATGTGTGAAAAATATCAGGGTTTTTATATATTTGTAAATACAGCGAATATTCCTTTCTTCTTTCTTGAAGTGCAAAGATGCATAAACAAAGCTTTCATTGATTTCACTCCAGAAATTCCAGCTTCAGTCATCTTGAAGTATTTTGCACCACCACCTTTTCACTTTCAGTATTATGCTGCCGCTAAATACTTTAAGAAACTGAAGCTGGAACTTTTGGAGTGATCTTTTGTGTGGAGATGAGTGGCAGGGGTCATTTGTGACAGAAAGATAGTAGCAAGAGTGGAAAAGAAGGTTTACAGAGTGGTAGTGGGAAAAAACTGGAGCTGGCAAAACTGAAGATGCTAAGACTTTCATTGGTGGATAGGTTAAGCATTTTGGAAACAAGTTAGGGAGACAAGGCTGAGATGGTTTGGACATGTGCAGAAGACCTCACCAAAGATTCATGGATGCAGTGAAGGATGAGATGCAGAAAGATGTTAGAGAGACGGTGAGAACCCTAAAAGGAGCAGCCAAAAAAAGAAGAAGAAGAAAAAGACACATGCATTTAGAATTTCCCAACATTTGGTGGAATCCATTCTCTCTCCTAGCTGCACAGCGTTTCCCTTGCCAATAACTACCACACACACTGAAAACACTTCATTTTCCTGTTTGCTTAACAGTTAATAAGGTGTTTTCAGCTGTTTGTGAGAAAAATCATTAATTTTGAACATCGTTTTGAGCACTTGTTTCACAAAAGATCGGCTCATCCATCACACACTTCAGTGGTTCTTGACCTGCCTTAGGTCTAATGAATCCTTACTTCTTTCTCATTCATGTAATAGCATATTTTTTCTAGTAATGCTTAGATTTTTCATGCAACTGTATTGACACATAGAAACTATGATGCACAATGAGTTTACTTAGCAGCAGTGATGTTTTATTGTTTCTCTCTATAGGTAGTAAATCAGCCCTGGCCAGAGAGGAGAAGAACAATAGGGGGTATTGATTTTGAAAAAATTGCAGCATCTCAAGCTGGTGAGTATCTTCTTTCTAGCTCAGCAAAGCTTTGGTTGTGTCAGCCTGAATATCATATTACCCTGCCTACTGTCATGTGAAAGAAACGGACAAAATTACTGTTTTTTTAAAGCATTCAGAACAATAGTTTCACTTTTCTAAGATTAAAGGACTATCTCTTTATTGAGTAGTTATCAGCAGAGCTCGGATTTAAACTTTTTACAGTTTGATTAGGGATACGTGAGTAGCAACATAAACAAACAGCGCGAGTTCATGTCATAAATTACACATTGCAATAATGAAAGCAGCTACAGCAAGCTTCAAAGTGCAAGCTTCCAGGTAAAAGACCGGCTGATAAAACCGGGAAATACTGCGCCTTGATTTAGGTAATGAGTAAACAGTGAACTATGATGAATATGGTTTGGTTCTATAAATTCAGGGTCAAATAACAAACTGCTGAAGACGATTCAGCTTAAGATGAAAATATCAGAAAGAAAATAAACATGTGGCTCTTTCAAAAATTTGTTCTGAAAGAAACATCTTTGGGCACAAAAACATAACAAAAATAAACAAAGATGTTAGACGTGCCTTGGAGAGCTGTCTTCAGCGAGTTCGGTCAAAGCTTTGGATGACTCAACTTGGTGTAGGAATAGTAAGCCACTCCACAACCGGACAGAAATAGCTGGTGTGCTACAAGACCAGAATAAGTGCAGGAGGGTGAAAGGGTCAGCTGTTTCCAGGAGAGGAATGGGACAGAAAGAAGGAGCGAGTGGCAGAGGCTCCATGACACGACACAAACCAACAGACAACTAAAGTTTGGAAGAAACTGGGAATATTTCTTCTTCTGTGAGTAGAGATTTGTATTTCTGAATGAAAGGAGTGGCACATGCACTTAAAGAAGCTTAATACAGTATGTATGGTAGAAGCTGAAAACTAATGGCTATTATTTACTTTTTTAACAGTTGCCCAAATCTGGAAATATTAGTAGCTCTTTTTAATTAACTGATACTGCAATGAGTTTTATGTTTCTTCTTCTTTGGTCGCAGAGCCTTTTTTGCAGTATTTTCCAGCTTGTGGACTCATGATTTCATAAAGTATCTGTACTTTCATAAATAGCTTTGAGACACATCTGTTTACCTTTGAACTTCGATGCTTAGTCAACCGTTGTTGCAGTGACTTGCCTGTTTTAACTAGTATGCGTGTCAGCAGAGTCGGGTATCTCTCCTGCTCCACAACAAGCGGTACATTTATAACTCGGCCACATGACAGCTGTTAATATCAGCTTCGAAAGTGCTGGACCCCGAATTGGGACCTGTGTTATTAACAAATAGCACGAGCCGTTTGTTAATAACACAGATGTCAGCCGTATGTTGTTAAACGAGCCACGACTTATTTCCAATCTGGCTGCGTGTCGATGATGAAAATGTCACGAGACAACCCTGATCAGTTTGACTTCTTAACAGAGCCATAACAAAATTTAACATTAAAGCTCCCGTGTCTGATGTCTCTGCAGATGAAAAGAGGAGGTCAGCTGCAGACTTCAGAGACAGCTCTTTCGTCCAAACCAAGGAGAAACTTTCTGTCTCGGTGAAAGCAATATCAGCTCTCTATCTGTCCAAAGCGGGAACCAAGGAATCAGCAAACAGTCATGTAAAATTGGTACATGTCAGCTTACTCGTTACATCTCCCCTTCTTTTTAGTTCACCGTTAACTATAGAAAGTAAACTTGTTTAAAGTTTACACACTGAAAGAATTATCTCAGAGATTTTTATGCAAGGTAAAAAAAAAAAATCACAATTTTTTTTGGCAATGAAAATAAAGAGTTAAAGGTTTATTCCACCAGCCTTTATAGTGTAGATTTTCAGCTACACATTGAAGTTTGGTATCTATATGTCATCATAATATATCATAAATTAATTATTGATAAGTGAATTTCTGGCAGCAGCCAAACAATAATGCTGATATAATTCTTTTAATTATTATTATTTCTTTGCAGGAACGAAAAGTGTCACGTGAGTCTGGGAAAAGAGAAAACCAAATCAAGGTAAAGTGCAATGTCACTGTGGTGTTGCATGATGTTGTGATTGATGCACATTGTTCTGTGCACACTGGATTTGCACAGCGAGCAGTATCGTGTTCCCTTTGGCTCAAAAATCCAAAATATGCTGCTTACCTGCAAAATAAAGAAACAGATTCCCTTCACAGACTTCCTCACGCTTTTATTTTTTACTCATTTTGTGGTTGCATTTGTGGTTGTACTTGCTGGTTGCTTTGGAGTTCAGCTAAGCAGCTAACACGTGGCATGAGGAAAACAAATCACCTGGCATGGCTCTCATTCCTGTGAGTAGGTGTGACTGCTCTTGAGCATGAATTTCTCTGAATGGATGAAACAGTAAGAAACATTCCTTTGTTCTTCTAAGATGTCAGAAGACTCAAGTGTCCAAGAAAAAGAGGATTTACCATTACCTCCTTCAGCAAGACATCAGCCAGAATTAGAAGAAAGCTGTAGGACAAATTCTCCGCAACCTAATCTGCCCCAGCTTTCCAAAGAAATGTTATATCAGCAGAGGCAGAAATGTGAACTGAGGCGTCTCCTGAAGCACACCCATCCAGAGCTGAAGATGCTGGATGATGTTGTGGATGAAGAGCTTGCTGAAGTTTTGAGCTCAGAGAGGATGACAGCTGATGTAACCGGATACGAGGGAGAGGTCCTTTCGAAACGCTTGATATTTGAGAACTGTGGCTCAAGTAACAAAGTGTCTCACTACACCCCCAAGATGCACATGGAAGGGGGACGTGAGAAACAATGTGATTTTAGTAAAACGTTGGCTGTTCTGGAGGAAACAAAAGAAACGCCTCGTGTAGAAAGTGCTAAAGAGGTTATGGAAGCTGAAAAATCTCTTGGTATTAGTCCAGACACTGACAGAGAGTGTGAGGAAGAGACGGTCAGACTAGACGTTCAGGCTACCAGAAGGATATTTGAGAGTCAGTCTGTGAACATGTCTGGGCCAAATCTGGGTAAAATCCAGGGAAAGGTTTCTATTAACGGGGATGAGACAAAGGAAGTCCAAAAACAAAAAAAGCAATTTGAAATGGCTTGCAGTGAGAGTATACACAGAAAAAATGAAAGCACAAGCAATGATTTAGCAACAGAGCCCCGTGAACAACCATGTCCTCATGTCAGTCAAAGAACTGAACGCGACTTCTCATGTAAAGATGAGTTTTCCACTGAGGAAGCACTCTTTGAAGAGGAGTCTATAAGCTTATCCGATTTGGAAAAGAATGATGAAATTATTAAAACAAGGGCAGCTCTTTTTCAAAACAACCCCTTTATCTCCACCAACATACAAAGAGAGCCCTCCGTTGTGCACACATCAAAAACTCAAATCACAAGCGGTAGCGGTGCAAGTGAGGACAACACGACCACCAATGTGAAAAACAGAACCCATCTTTTTGAATCAATGCCATTTGACAAAATTAGACGTCAGAACGAGGATGAAATTGAGACAATGGTGGAGAACATCAAGGAAACGCTGAATTTCCTGTACCAGATTAGAGTCATCCAATCGTTTGGCTTTATCATTGAGGTCAATGAGACAATGATTGCTAAAAAAGCTAAGTTTACACTATCAGAGAGTGGGCCTGAGATAAAACATGACGAGGTGGCTGAAGGCGGTGCCCAAAACTTCATACTCCAGCTGCTACCACGGGTAAACCTAAAACCTCAGGTCACTTACCTAAAGGAGGACCGCAAAGGGGATATCGAGACCACGGCGGTGACGGCGCCTGTTCAACAGCATCAGTTCAATGCGAACAAGGACACGGAGTTCAGAACTGCCAGTGTGGTTCAGCTTGTTGAGGATATTCTCAATCAAGATAACTCTCTGAGAAAAGGAGTGGTAATCCAAGAGGATGACAACAACTGTGCCAAAGTCATTGTTTACTCCCTCTACAAATACCATAATGAGAAGGATGTGAAGAGCTTCGTCCCTCCAAAATGTGTTGAATGTGATCAATCAGAGCTGGAAAGGGGTGACATGAGTAAAAAAGGCCATAAAGAAATAAAAGTTGCTACTAAGTCAGTCCAAGGTGATCTACTTGAACTCTCTCAAGAACAAACATGCCCAGGATCAATAACACCTGAAGGGAAAGTAAAGGGGAGTGTAAAACTATTCAAAAGCTGCATTGAAAAGGGAGATTTTGAGTATTTAAAAAGTCTTCAGACTGAAGAAGCAGTTCAAGAACTCCCTGAAAACCAAACTATGGCTGGACAGGAAGTTCTTCATGAAAAGGAAAGTGATCAAGTGCAGGAAACTACTGAGTGGGTACCTGTGGATGTAAAGAGGCTTAAAAGCATGTTCTCTGGAGACCCAAGTCAACACCAAGCAAAGAAAAAGATCCACAAAAATATATACGCAGGTCAAAATGTTTCTACAGAATGCAGTTCTGGGGTATTATCTCATGTGCAGGAAAATACTACAAGCAGTGAATGCACTGATGAAGCACAAGAGCAAGCGTGTCCCAAAGTTGCGACGCAGGAGTCCTATGAAAATTTTGAGAAACAAGATCACGAGCTTGGTGCCCACGAAGCTCAATTAGTCAAGGTGGTAGATCAGAATGAAGAGATCTCTAACCTCCAAACTGCACTGCATCAGTCATCACAAGAAAAACAAAAGACTATTATTCAGAAATCATCTGAGGAGCTCTTTCCCTCGGTTACAGCAGATACTGTGAAACGCTCAAGAGTAGAAGAAGAATTTTCTCAAGAAAACTTCACCTCAGCACAGAAAACAGATTACCAGCACAAAAATATAGAAACAAGCCACAAAGATGCTACTCCTGAGGAAACACACACTCCTGAATCATGCAGCAACGAAGGTCAGGAAGGTGCAAGGGGGGCGCAGAAACAACCTTTAGAAACTCCTATGGTCACTACACAAAGTTTGGAAACAAGTCCTGCACAACAGGAGGATGAGGAAGTTGTTTTTCATGGTAAAATTAAAGCAGCTTTGCAATCTTTAGAAAGATCTAACGTTAATGTCACAAGAGGAGATTTTAAAGCAGCTATGATATACAGAAACTCTTCAAAGCCTCACAGAGAAAAAGCTCAACACGTGGATGTGGTGTCTATTCAAACGACCAGTGCTGACGAGCTTTTCACTGTGACTGAAAATGAAGCAAGTCAAATATCAGTGAAACAAGAGGCAACTGCAGCAAATCCGGAGCCTCCACACCAAAACAAAACCCAGAGTAACCCAACAACGAGACTCATTTTAGAGAAAAGCAAAAAGCCTACTGGTCCAAAACCAGCCATTCCACCTAAACCAGAACATCTGAAGGAGAAACAAAGCAATAACGAGTCAACCCAAAATAATTCTGATATCAAGGCAGAGGAGAAAAGAACCCAGGATTTAGCAGCCAAAAGTGATACGAGTGAAGCAGATGAAAGTCATATAGATTTCCATGACGCATTTGAGAAATTTGGAGGCAAAAAGACAAAGACTGCCCCTGTAAAGCCCAAAAGACTGAAAATCCCCCAACCAGACAACAAAAACCTGAAACCAGTGGCTGGAAATAAAGAAATGTCTGTTCTTGCACATGTGGATCCAGATGTGGCAGAAATGACAAGCAATCAATCATGTGACACCTGTGATTTTCTTATGTTTCAGGTACATGGGCCAGACGTGGCCGTCAAAAAGGCCAGGTGGGTCTGGTACCAGGTAGTTTGACACTGACAGTCGAGACAAGCATGAGAAAGAAATCAAGAAGCAAGAAAGCAAAGTCGAGATGAGAGAAAAGAAAGGGCGAACTGAGACTGACGACGAGCGCCGACAGCGACTGTCAGTTCACATGGATGAGATCGTGAGAGGGAACATACCAGCAGCAATGGAAATATTTGACAACTTACGAAAACAGCGGGAACTGCAGAGCTTTCTGAGCCGAGTTGAAGAAATTGAAAAAGACACAAGTGAGGTTGATGTAAGGTCTCTGAGGAGAGTTTTTGAGAACGTCCCCCATTGGGTTGTCAGCTCTAACAAAAAGAAACAAAACAAGGTCAGAGCTGACAACAAAGACGAAAGGTTGCCAGTATCAAGAGAAAGCGCTGAAAACAAGTCATCGATGGCACACGTTTTTGGAGATCTTGAGCGAGCGGGTGTGGAAATCACGACTCTTAAAGAGGAGACTTTAGCAAGAATCCTCGATGTAGAGGAAGCCATAAAGAAGGCACTTTATTCCGTCTCTACACTGAAATCTGACTCAGATATTGCTGGCTTATCACGTCTGTTCAAAGAATCCTTTGGGGTTATACAAGGATCCCCATCCTCTGGCGGTGATAATAAAATTAGCATTGGGTCAAGCAGAACAAAATCACTGAAAAGTGTTACCATGCAGGGGAACACAACTAATTCAGCAAGGCAAGATGCGAGCACTGATGAAGCCTCTGGGAAACCTCAGTCGAATCCTCCACCTCCACCTGCGTTTATCACTATCCAATCAGCAGCTAGAAAGACAGATAAAACCGACCTGGCACCACCAGAAGCTTTGATCTGCCCGACGTGTCAGCAGAGCCAAAAGTTGGAGGAGACTTTTCGGACGACAAAGACGCTGATATGCAACAGCCCTGCTCAAAACAGAAATGACCCACGAAAAGAAGGTCAGAAACAATCCACCTCCATCCCACTCAGTCCTCGACAGCTCAGCACGCTCGAGGTTCAGACAGACTGTGACGGGAACAGTATCACAGGAACAAAACCAGTCACCGACAAACATGAGAAGACCGAAGGATCCGGAACAAAGTTTTACTCTTCCAGGACCTCCACTGTGGTCAACTCTCAGACAGAAACAGTGACATCGTCCACAAGGCATGTCGTAATCAGTCCATCTACAATTCAGGTCACCACAGACCCAGAAGTGAAGCTGCCAATCAATCAGACTGATAAATCGGTGCCTGAATAGGAGCACATTGGCAGCGTTTTACCTGTTCGTTATGTGAAAGCTGTCACATATATGACTGTGTATGAAAAGAGATCAATTATAAGGCTTAAAGTTTGGGTTTTTGCTTTTGTATGTATTTTGATCTTAAAAACTGTCTTTGATTTGCATTATAATCAAAATATATATTTGATTTTCACTTCTCATTTCACTGTGGTTTACTATAAATGCTTTTGGTTTAAAAAACCCCAAAAAAAACATTTCCACTAAGGTCAGTCTTGTTTTTTTTTCTTCAGTTTCAACCGGCTTCTCGAGAGATGTGCTCAGCATGTCTGAAGCCAGTCTATCAGATGGAAAAAATAACTGCAGACAAATACTTTTTTCACAAAGCGTGCTTCTGCTGCAAACATTGCAAGAAAAAATTAAGGTGGGATGTTGGACTTATACAAAAAACCTGCAACATTAATCAGTGATTCCTCTTGTCTGATGGATTAGTGTCTTTGTCCTTTTTTTAAAACTTTATATTGTTTATATATATAACTTTCCAGCTTTATAACTTTATAACTGTAAGTAGATATGTTAGATATGTAAATATCTAACATATCTACTTACAGTTATAAAGATATGTAACTATCTAACATATCTAATATGTATTACTAAATTGAAATATTTTTAAAAAAAACATACTAAACTATGAATGTAAAAACTGGATACTCACGTATTTTGTGATCTGCAGATATGTGATGCAGCATGTAAAAACTTGGCCAAAATGCAACTGCACACAAACCAGGCAAGCAAAAAATAAAAGAAACAAACACAGAGACTTTCCCATATTTCCAGTGTTTGTTATCTTAACTGCACTGTCTGCACATATCTCTGAAAACTATGTCAGGGAAATGTATTTTATTAAATGTCTTCTGATGCATAAACTGTAAATATACAACAAACTGTTTTTCCCCAAATCCTCATTCAACAAGCCTCACAGCTCACAGCAGTTGAGCCACAAACAGGCCGGGGGGGTGTTAGAAAGTCTTCTTAGTGGCCCTGTGAATTTTCCATATTTAGCCGGTGCTGATAAGACTGTTGGTTTGTGATGAAACAACAATTTTTTGTAAATCTCGTGGATCTTAACATGGTACAAATGATGTGTTTCTCCATTTGCATCATTACTAAGCAATGAACTCCGTTCAGTTCGACTTTGTCAGGTTAAAAAGTCCTCAAAAAAATAAACAAAGATAGATTAAATCTGTTTTTTGTGTGCTAATGTAGAATTTGTGAAATTTTAGAAAACTTAAAGACTTTAGCCCTGTTTTGCATGCTACATCATATATATCAATCTGCTCTGTGTCACTGTGATGGTGATTAACTGATCTTTGTTCATGTGCTCTTATAGTCGGCATCTTTTAGACTTTCCTTTTTTTCTCTCATCTCCCGTTCACAAAGCTGAGAGTTAACTTGAACCACTTGGCAAATGGTTACTACTAAAATATAGGCTACAGGATAAAACTACTAGCAAAGCTAAGGCTACAAACAACACAAAATAAGAACTTGCTTAGATAGATAGATAGATAGATAGATAGATAGACAGACAGACAGACAGACATTTGCAGTTAAATGTTATCATTTGCCACCAAACATTTCATCTTTGAAACATTTTATTTAGTCCAATATGTGATGCAGATAACATAGCAATTGCTAATTTGATTCAATGTACAGATTAAGACCACCTGTAAGTTTCCCACTATTAATTAGAAAAGTGGAGATATGCCAGAATATGTTTAAGAAGTAGCTGAAAGATGTTTACATCGACTGTTAATCAAAAACTGTCCCCACTACTCTCTTTATTTTGAACAATGACTGACAAACCTTGTGCTCATTTGTAGCATGTACAGTTACGCGCCTTTAAACGGTGAGTTCTACTGCATATTTCACTACCAACAACTGTTCAGACGAAAGGGGAATTACGATGAGGGATTTGGACACGCTCAACACAAGGATCGATGGCTTTTGAAGAATGCAGCTGATTTGGTGCATGATGAATCTGAGGCATGAGCAGTCAGTAGACATGTAAGTACCACAAGGCATTTTGATTTTATGAATGTTTGACTAATTCGAATGATTGATTATTATAAAATTGGGCTCTCTTTCTATCCTCAGCTCAAATGAGACGGTGAAGGCACAGAATCTGTGTTTGAGGCCATCCTGTCCAAGCTTTGCAGTGTGTTCATGTGCTTCTTGTTAATGAATGATAGCGTGCCGAGACATAACCTACAACTTAATTGCAACGATAGGTAACTAAATTTAGAAACTGGGCAGGGCCTGTACATACTCACACATGTAAATGCACTTTAACTTAAAAGTGCATTTACAAAATAACTTTACAGCTTTTAAAAATAATTCTTGTAAATACTGTTGTAAAATGCAAAGAATTAAACAGATTAACATTAAATTAAGAAACTGTTTAAAGTGCGATAAAAAAATTTATCAGAAATTAGCTTGATTGTATTATTATTGCATAAAAGCAACAACACTTAGGACTTTTTTGTTGTTCTTGTTTTATATCGGTAATACAAACTATGAAAAGGCAAATGCATTAGGATTATTATGTCTGTACAGATCATAATAAAGAAGACACGTTCCTTCACTTTCCATTACTGCTGAATTGTCGGTGCTCCATTCTCCTTCCTGAGTGCTCATAAATTACATTTAAAGGTGCCATAATGATTCTGTTCACTATAACTGTGATTAGCTCTGCGACATAACATTTGAATGAAAATAAAACTGCATTAAATTTTACACGAGCACAGAAAGAGCAAAAAGAAACCAAATAAAACCAAAATCTTGACTCTCCTCTGGTTTTGGGATTTGTCTAAATTTTGTCTAAATTTCTACCTGGCAGCAGAGCCTCCTCATTGAAGCGTTGCATCCCCAGCTCTTACCTCCACAAATACATCTAATTAATATTTAAACCAATACAACCAAAGGCTGTAAAAACAGTCCTCTCACTTCCTTCCCACTTCACTTTATCGTAGTAGGTGACACATCACTCAAAACACCAGCCGGTAACTTGCAATATTTCATTTATCCAGTGCATTTAACAAAACACTTTGCATAAAAAAAAAAGGTTTCACCTTAGTGCAAGAGACAAAAACACTTTTAGAAGTTAATATAAAAACTGAGAAATTCTCTTTCAATAACTAATAATCAGCCACTTAATACACTGTACATTTCAGTTTTTAACATAACAAATTTATACTTAGTCCCATTATGGTTTCAATAAAAATTATAGTTTGTGTTCTTCAACTTCTTCAGCACAATATCCGTCTCCCTTTGCTTCATTCACTGGGTTTCTAAGTCAAAAAAAGAAGAAACACACTTACTGATAGTGCATTTATCTTACTTCAGTGTGATCTGGAAATTCAACATTGAGGGTTTCAGGCAGCAGGAAAGAGAAACATCCAGCAACAACAGGGACAATGCCATATACTAGCATTGGGATGATGGGATGGTAGCTTTCCAGTTGCCTGATCAGTGGTGCAATTATATCCGCCACTCAAGCACACATGGAGTTCAGACCTACACCATTATGCCTGCACAAACATAAACTGAGGTGATTTTTGCAATGCTTTACATTTTACTGATTAGCTCGAAAAATCAATCAAACCAACACTTAGCAGAACTTGTTGCTGTAAAATTCACGGTAAGATTATGTACTAAAACAAACACAAAGAAAAGAAAATCTTGCTGTTACCAGAATCACTGCTGGTGAGTGACGTTACCTTAAAACTCTGGGGTA